TAGTAGTAGTAGTAGTAGTACGGGCAAACTTTATGTTAAGAAAACTACGTTGCTGTTCCAGGGTCTGGGAACTTTCTTAACAGAACAGGTCGAATAAGAAATATACTTCCCTCAAGAAAGTTTGGTGTACATTTCTTAGTCTGCTGCCCCTGCTGCTGCCCGTGCTGCTGCCCTGATGCTGCCCCTGCCCTGCCCCTGCCCTGACCAGTTCCAAAACCACCATTTTGAGCTTCCCGCGCCTTTAACAAGCGCTTGTTTCGTGGTTTTGGAACTCCTGCCCCTGCTGCCCCTGCTATTGCATTAAAGTAGTAAGTCTTAAGCACCTACTAAGCCTTTAACTGCAGTAAAGTAGTAAGTTTTAAGCCTCTACTAAGCCTCTAATTGCAGCAACGTAGTAAGTCGGAAGCCTCTGCTAAGCCTCTCATTCCAGTAAAGTAGTACATTTTGGGCTCCTAGCTCCCATCGTAGACTCCATTTTTTTTAGCTGGTTAGGGCAGAAATTGTTTCCCCGAAATAAAGATGGATTTCTTTGTGGTTGCAAACCAGGATTTCCGGACAAAGCCTTTAAATACTGGGTATTTATCATTACGAAGCTTGGATTAAATAGGACCTGAAGTTTCAAGAGGGTTCTGAGCAAGGCTGGAGCCGACCTGCAGGGGCTGAACCTCAACCATCGTACCCCGGCCCATCTGGCCGCATACGCTGGCAACGCGGACGCGCTGCGCGTCCTCATTGAGGTGGGGGGGGGTCGCGCTTGAACCCGTTCCTTCACGGCTGCCGTGCTTTTATCCTCATGCTCGTGCCTGCTTCGCAGGCTGGTGTCAACCTCAATGTCAAAGATAATGACGGAGATACACCGGCCGACGACGCAAAGCATCATGCAGAGGCACTGAAGCTGATCCTGGAGGTACGGCAAAGAGGAGGGTTTTCACATGCCCAAACGGCCCATCTCAATTCAGGACAATTGCTGCCCCTGCCAGGCTGGGGGCAGACGAAGCAAGTAGTGAGGCCGCCCTGGCGATTGCGGCAGCTTGCAGAAGCCGGAGTGTTTGGGGTCTGCTTTAAGCTTTAGGGCAGGGTTTCGGGTTTAGGGTTCTGAAGTTGGGCTGTCAGGGTGCTTAGGGCTTGAAGGGCCGGAGCTGAATCTGCTAAGGCTCAATTCATGGTTTAAGGTTTTGCTCGATTTTAAGGTTCGATGAGTGCTTTGTTGCCAGGTTGTGATCATGTTCGTGATTGTTCTCAGCACTACTATTGGCGTGGGTGATTATGATCCTCACTACCAACTCGCTGCGGAGCACATGCATAGGAGCTGCCCTGGCCTTGACATTATTTGCGTTGCCCTTAAAGCCTTGAACAGCCTGACACAGATGCTATCCGATAGCATGACTCGTGGTTTTGATTTTAGAGGCCTGCTCCTTAACGGGGTGGTTCCTGGCAGTTTAGATCTGGGAAGTAAGGCTGTGTTGTTTGGAGTTGCCCGAGTTTTGTGATGAAAGTAGCTCTAAGGCTAGATGACAGCAAACGATGTTTGCACCGAGCACGGACCGAAATTTGAAAGCACGACGGTTCAAGAAACTGAACAGTGCATACTATAGAGTCTATACTATAGAGGCCCGCTAACTTTTATTTTTGGTCCATCAGGATTTCTTGCACTACAACTATGCCAAAATATATCCAGAGCTTCTCGTGCACATCCCTGCAATAGTATCCCATCTAGAAACAGAAATCCTTGTAGAAACCGTTACAACAGCCTTTGGGAAAAGCCTGTAGAAGCACCGGCACAGTTTATGTTTTGTCCATGGGGTCTTTTAGACGGGTTCCTATTCCTAGCTCATTGTCTGCCTGTACGCACTTTCTCGGCAAACTTCTAAAGTATGTTTTTGCGATGGCTATGGCGATTCCGCACGACGACATGTCGACAAAAACTCTCGCCATGTTCAGACAACTGGTCCAAAGCTTCCAGCCCTTCACCCGAAGACCCCAAGGCCCCCTAAAACCCGGAAGCCCCCAAACCCGGAAACCCCTAAGGAACCCAAACAAAGCTTCGATAGAACCCCTCCTTAAAGGCTTCCCGAAGCCCCTGAAGCCCTAAAGCTCTGGAGACAAGCTTAGCAACTTTCCGCCTTGCGCTGTGTCTAGGGCACAAACGATGTTTTTAGTGGATTTGGCAGAAAGGAAAAGGATTTTAGGGTTGGTTTCCAGTGGCTTAGACTCGAGAATCCGGTTTTGAATATAGGGGTGAAAGACCCAGCCACACGCGAACTTCCAAGTTCCTTTCAGCCCGAGACCCTGAACCCTCAAGCCCCGAAAGCACCCGCCCCCCAACAGAAGAAAGAGTGGGGATCGGAGAGTCTGAACTGCTTGTTTGAGACGTGTCGCAGACTTCTCCGAGGTCGCATCGCTGCCGTGAGGAAGCCTCGGCGTCCGAGTCGCAGGAAGGATCTTCAGGGGTTCTGGAGACCCTAGGCCCTATGTAAGCCCTATAAACCCTCAACCGGCTCAGAGCTGATGCTTGAGATGGTACATAGTTCAGGATTTAGGAGTTATAGGCTTTGGGATCTAGGGTTTCGGGTTTAGGGTTGAGGCCGCAAGCCGAGCCTCACAACATCACAGTGCGTAGTTTGCATGTCAGTTACGGCCCTTCCTTTGCTCCTGCTTCCTCCGACAAGAGGCTGTCGCTGGCGACCGCCGCTCCAAGCGCCGAGACCAGAGGATTCCGCGCGGTTCGAAAAAGTCCAGATGTGCTCCACTTGGAAGCCTCAGACGGAGGTCGATGGTTGGGGGGTTGGCCGTGAAACCTCAAAGAGCAATACCCCAGACCTTAAGCTGGGTGCGCTGGTTTGGAACCTCCTCTGCTTCTTCGTGAAGTCCTCTGAATTAGTGTTCAATTCGTCCTTCAAAGCGGATTAAGATTGCCTTCACCATCTTTCGGGAAAATTCTGATCATGTCCTCCGCCGACACTCGCCTATCTGCTTCCCCGACAAGCTTTGGGCTCATTCATTGACATGTTTGTGTAAGTTTGTCAGCTCCAAGTTTCCGCTGCGCGATGCTGGCCGTGGGCTGAGTTTTCGCGTGTACTTGCCTGGACATTAGTCCTCCAGGGACCTCCTTCTCAGACGCTTCGTTGCCTTGAACCTACGCTTGGAAAGCTTCGAGCGTATTTCGAAAACACAATGAGATTGAGGGTGTCGAGCATTTTCGCCGCGGGCTTCATTCACATGTTTCTAATATTCCAACCATTGGGTGAGATCTGTAAATTGCCAGGGGCTTGGGTTGAAACCTCTACAGCGATTCTACGGCCACTCGAGGACCGAACAACACAAATCGACCCACCAAACCCATGGCGCAACTCGCGAATCTGTAGAAGCTCCGTCTTAGTTAACTTAAGTCTGAGCATCCCAATCCCAGATCTTGCCTTGTCGCCTGAGCTCGCAACACCTCCAACATGGGAGCCGTTAGCCCAAGCCTGCGACGGATTTACTCAAAATTTGGTGTAAGGCGACTCAAATGGTCGTGCTGGCCACGATTGCCATCGTGGATGGCACGCGGGCTGGGCTCTCGGCACTGGGTTGCGGCTGCTGTGCTGGCAGCAGGGCAGGGAGAGAAGGGTGGCAGCCGGCGGGATGGGATTTCTAATGCTGCTTGGAGAGGATGGAGAGTTAAGCTGTTCCGTCCTGAAGCCAACATGAACACACTACCTTTCTCAACGCGAGGTTCTAAACCCTTTAAAACCCCAGACCCCAGCTTTAAGCCCACACCCACATTCCTCGGTCCTCGCTGCGATTTTCCCAGGTGTCCATTCAGGAGAACCTGGCCGCGGCTACGGAGCAGCAGACCGGTGTTTGGTGTTTTTTCCAGTGCTTGCAGCAGCAGCGGTTCGCTAAGTTTCGATTTCGGGCTGGACCGGGTTCCCAGCAGAGGAGCGGCTTGCCAAGACGAAGGAGCTCTTGAAGCCCTTGCGTCACATGGGGCATGCTGAGTTTGCGCGTGGACAAGCTCTGTAAGGTCATGGGCGCTGAAATCCCGCATGTCTGAGGACACAGTTGGAAATGGTTCAAGTCCGACGAACTCTGGACCCTGCATCAAAAACAGTGAGTGCTGTGAACCCAACCCCGCCCCCAGTTGGAAGTTTCCAGGACGTTCGTTTAGGACTTGCAAGGGTGGTGATGCGGTCGTTGCGGGCCCAAAACACCAGTTCGGCGCACCCGGGTGGAAACAGTGAGGTCCGCCGCAAGAGTAGATCCACCACACACCTGCATCAAACGAGCTGTCCCTCCCCTCTGCCACTCGTGCTTTCTTTTGCCGAAAGCCCTGAGCGGTACAGGACCATCACCTCAAGACATTTCTCTGGAATTGGCCGCCAAGACTGGCGACGTGGCGGCCCTCGCGCAGCACGGTCAGGCCAGTGGCGATTTCTTCCGAAGGGCTGCGAGGGTGCTGTGTTTGGAAGTGTGTTTGGATTATATGTCCACAAGTGTAATAGGGAGAGGTGAGGAGGCAGAGCCGTGCCGAGGCTGGGTCCGATCTGGATGAGAAATTGGACTCTCTTGGATGGACAGCGGCGCACTATGCCGCGCGTTACGGCCATGTGGCGGCGCTGAAGGTCCTCCACGAGGCACCCGGCGCCTGTTCTGAGCTGCTCTTCCAGGTCCAAGGCCTGCGGCAGGTGCCAACTTGAGTGCGACGACCTCCTCTTCCCAGAACGGTTCCAGAACACCGGCCTACCTGGCAGCCAAAGAGCAGGCAAAGGCGCTGGAGGCTTTGGCCGAGGCCAGGGCTGCTTTGCGGAGACTTCCCCAAAAGCAGACGGACTTAGGACAAGAACTCTCCATGAGATGGCTCGATGTGGCCGCAAACAATCTCAAAGAGTCAAAGGCAACACTATATCTACTACATGTATATATACACTACATGTATTACCTTTTGTATAGAAACGATATAAAGAGAGACTCGCGGTTTCCACTGAGTGAGGCAAGAGCAGATCTTCAGACGCCGGGCGACGATGGACGGACCCCGCCGCGCACGCGGCCGCGAAAAACTGCAAGGTGGACGCGCTACGAGTCCTCATTCAGGCCGGGGTTTAGGGTTTGGGTTTTAGGGTTTGGGGATTTAGGGGCTTCAGGGTTTTAGGGCAACCTTCAGCCATCCTCAACCCGTCCTGATTGGGCTGCACGCTCAGAACTATCTATATGCTACATAGCAATAGCAAGAATCACAATAACAATAGTAGTAGGACCTATCATCTCCCATTCGTACCCGTTCCTTGACGGCAACTTGATGCAGCGCCACACCAGAATCCTCAGGCCGGTGTCAACATCAATGACACGGACTTCGAAGGACAAACGCCATTCGACGACGCTGCCAGCGGGGACGGTGCGGACTGTTACGAGGCTCTGCAGCTTCTCGTGCAGGTCAGGGAGGGCCGTGGGGAACCATTGTGGGGAGGGGGGGTTTAGGCTTTAGGCTTTTAGGGGTTTAGGGATTTAGGGTTTAGGATTCGCGCGGGGTGCCGCCCCCCCCTGCCAGGCCGGTGGCAAAAGCAATGCCTGGTGATTGTGGCAGCCTGGCGGATGGAGAAGTTGAATAGAACGTTTTAGGGTCTTTGCGGCTTCAGGGTTCCAATTAGGGTTTAGAGGGTTTAGGCGCTTAGGGTCTGGAGAGGGTCCGGAGATGAGGAACGCGGAAAGCTCAGGTTCGAGCCTGCAGCTGGTCTCAGCCCTGTACCCGACTGAACCCTAAACTGCACTAAACCCAAAGCGGTTCAGCTGGTACCCGAGAGTTGGGATTCAGATTTTACGCTCTGTAGACGAGCTAATTCGGACAGTGGATACAGCCTTCAGTTTGCAACTTCGGCCACGCCGCACAATGGATTCCCGCAGATACTATTTTCTGGAGTGGTTGTATTACTGAATAGAGTGAACTGATCCTGACTACGTCTCTCTTCGTATCACCTTACAACGCGACTTTCCTTTGCCAGTCCGCCCAGCCCCAAGCCCTAACGACCCAAGCCCCTGCGCCCCAAAACCCTGCACCCTAAGAAGCCCTACCAGCTACCCAGGCCTTGACCTTGATCGTCCCATACATAGGGGCCTGGAGAATTGCCTATATTTTTTTTTTGGGGGGGGCCTCATTATGAGTATGGCATAATATACCACCAAAACCCTCTTCTAAGTATTACAGCCCCTACATTAAACCCTGAAAGAACCCTCATGATAACCTTTATAGTAACTCTTTGCAAGAACCCCACTCCAATTATTAAGGCCCCTATATTACAGAGTCTTGAGTTTCCCTGAAGCTTTGCACATCCAACCGCTGTCCTGTTGCCCTGAACCCCAAAACCTAAACCATTTCTCAACTCCGAAACCGAACCCCACGTAACATGCAATGAATCCGAGATTCTAAACCCTCGCGCAGTGACCAAATTCTGCAGCATGACTCGCGCCTTTGATTGCAGAGGCTTGTTCCTCAGGGGACCGTTCTTGGGGGTGTAGGCTTGGGTTGTAGGGTTCCGGAATTTTGAAGTTTTCGGCTATAAGTTCTTACGGTTAAGGGTTTTAGGTTTTCGGGCTAGATCGCAGCAAGGGTGAACGAAGCCGAGCATGTGTCAGCTCTTACTTTGCTGCAGGGCTGGGGGCCTTAAAAGTTGAGGTTTAGGGGTGGTTTAGGGTTCAAAGCCGTACATCCCGGCCATGAGCCCCGAAGAAGAGCTCGCCGTGTGCCGGGCCATCCAGGAATCACTGAAACTCGGTGGCTTAGTGGGTACGTTTTCCCTGTTCGTGGTCCTAGGTTACTAATGCCACCCCAACCCCATAAAATGGCAGCCTACGGGGGATCCTAGGAAATCCATCGCGGCTGATCTGCGACTGGCCGTGAAGGAAACTCTGGAGGCTCCCTGGCCTTCACTGAGGAGTCCGGAGCTAGAGCAACAAGGGCAATAGACATAATGTAGGGGCCTAAGTATTTACCTATATTATATTGGGGGTTCCTTATGACAAGTATAGCATAATATACCCCAAAACCCAATTCTAATTATTACGGCCCCTATATTTGAGCAACAAGGGCAATAGACATAGTAATAGGCAACCCCAAAAAGGAACTCCAATGGAGACATGTCATTATCACAGAAATCGTTTTACTGTTCAGTAAGGGAACATAGGATTTGGGCTTTAAACGGCTTTAGTGCTAAGTTGCGACACAGCGACACAGTTCGGAGGTTGCTTCGCTCTTGAACACTTAGTTAAAGAGGATAAGGAACTGAATAATGTGAAGTTGGCAGTGTTTAGGGCTTAGAGAACCCTAGAGCCCAAAACCCCTAAGCCCTAAACCCTAATTAGAGACCCCTAAATCCCTAAACCCTAAACCCTAATTTGGATTAAGTTCCTTCAAAAGAGCTGAGGATGCCCTGCATGAGGCACTACCCCAAGAGCTTCAGAAGGCCCTTGCAATTTGGGCTGAGTGGTTTAGGGTTTAGGGTGTTAAAGCTGTTGGTGCCTTGTTTCATCCTACCATAGGGTTTAGGGCTTAGGGTTTTGAAAGGTTGACCAATATAGAGGCCTAAATAATTACCTATACTATTTTGGTGGGTTACTTAATATAGTGATAGTATCATATACCCCAAAACCTATGCTAATTATTCAGGCCCCTATATTAAACCCTTATAGAGCCCTCGTAGTAACCCTGATGGTAACCCTTTCAAGAACCCTATTCTACTTATCAAGGCCCCGATATTCTTCAGCCCCTGCAAGGCCCTCTCGCCGGAGTTGGCGGCATTGCGAGAGGAGCTGAGGGTCACAGGGTCGACCGCGACAGCGTCCACACCGCGGCTGCGGCGTAAGCTCAGCAACTGGGTCTCCCAGTTGGCCTTTCTCCCTTTTTGGAGCCTAAGGTTCCTTATAAAGGTGCCCAATACCAGAAAGGGAGCCTGTTTTAATCCTAGGTTACTGGGCATTT